GACTCTTAACTTTTATAAAGAATATCTCTTTGGATTTGAGACTTTAGTCTTTGCAACTTTACAGATCTTCTTTATGCACCAAGAGCTTGTAACACTCCAAAGAGAAAGGAAAAATTGAAATCGCATCATATGACCCCTTTAAAGAATTTGCTACTGATGATTCAAACGCAGTGTTTTGAGCAGTGTAGAGTAGAGGTCTACACGGAGGACCCGAGAATTTCTCGGTTCTGCACGGGCCCGGGTCCAACTTTCAAAATAATAGACAGGTCCGGGTCGGTTCAGTGTAGCACATTTACGGGTCTCTTCGGGTTCGGGTACGAATTTTTGGACCCGTGTAGACCTCTAATGTAGAGTAGCTTGTTGTTTGTCGTTTCTCTGATCACAAATGCAGACATGGTTTTATGTTTACGCGGCGCGATGCAACGCAACGCGTAAAAAGGCAGTATAAGTCATTATAATCCGTAATTATGTCCCCACTGGATGCAATAAATGCCTCGTTTGTAATGGGTTTTTATTGGTTTTGTCTCGTCGCCCTGGGACACGGCATCACAGTATGGTAAGGGGCGTAACATTTCCGTCACACGCTTGAGGTATTCGGCCAATCACAACGCACTGGATAGCTGGCCAATCAGAGGACACCTCGCTTTTCAGAACGATGAGCTTTGTAAAAATCGGCACATTTCAGAAAGGCAGGGCATAGAGGAGAAACAATAATGTACAGTATGTGGAAAATAATGTGTTTTTTCAACCTTAAACCGCATAAACACATTTCATTACACCAAATACACAAAATAATGTTCTTTTTAACAACATCATATGACCCCCCTTTAAGATCTAATTGAAATGATCACAGTCTTAAAAATAAACAACCACTAGTTTCTTTGTGGCTTTCATTGAGATTCTTGCATTCTAGTTATCAATACATGTTATTTTCTCACTGGGGAGCAAGTTTTGCATTCTGAAATTTGCATGTTTTCATATTACAATGAACTCTTTTATCTAAAAAAAATCAAGGACAATTTGAATCCTCATTATGACCCCTTTAAAGAAAGCAACCTCTCAACAACACTGTGCTACTCCATACCACGGTTCGGTTGAAGAGTTATTTCCTCTATTTTTGAGGATTAGGGCATTTGAAAAACACATCAAGACTCTTTAAAACAGCTAATAGCGCAAAAACACACTCTGAAACACTCAGATAACGAGATAGAGAGAGAACAAAATTCAATAGAAGCTGCTAAGAAAGGGAAGGTATCTGTTTGTGTGATCTCTCTTTAATCATTTTGTTCTCTGTTCTACCACACGCAGTGACGGGAGAGAGAGGAAAAGTTCTGGATGACTGCCTCTATAAAGGTCATTAATCTTCACTGACAATTTCTCACACACACTATTACTCTCATGTAGTGGGTTCAGTTGGCACATATTGAACTGCTGTTATGCCAAGCTGTTCTGATAAACATTGTTTGTTGTCATGTGAGAATTGTGTCTGGTGACACAATTCTCATATGACAACAAACAATGTTTATTTGTAACTATTAGGGCTGTCAATTGATTAATATATTGAATTCAAATGATATATTAATTAATTATTCAAATTAATCACATATTTTAGTGTTAACTTAGAAAATTCCCCAAATGAAGATAATTCATTACATTGTTGTGGCAGACAAAAGCATTGATATTACAAAAAATGTAATGTTTTCTTTTATTGATCATTGTCAACATTTTTAACCTTTTGAAAATGGTTAAAAAATTTTTTTGAGAAATGTACCGTGTTGTGAAATTCACATACAGGTTAATGGACATGACTAATTGTGTTAATGTTATTGCATTAATTTTTAAATAATCAATTGCACTAAATTAACCAATAAATTGAACTGTATAAGTAAATGAGAAATTGTATAAGTAAAATTGTAAAAATATCACAAATACTTTTTTTTGCATGCACACAGACACAAAAATGGTTCCTCTTGCAGTAAACTTAATTTGGCTGTAATAACCCATCCTGTTTTTAGTCTGTGTCCGCAGGGTTTGGATCACACTGAGCTCAAGTGAGCGAGACGTGTTTAATCAGAGCAGATCCTGCTCTCCTCCTCTCCCTTGTACTGTTACCTGTTTCTCATTCCGCCCACAACTCTGCTTTGAATTTACGCTTTAGAAGACCGAGAGCTGACGCAGAAGCAGAGCTCTCTCTCTCACACACACACACACACACAAGCTGTCTGTCTGTCTTTGTCTCTTTTCTTGTTTTGTGCTTTTATGCACTCTCTCTCTCCATCTCTTCCACTTTCCTTTTCATGTGAAGAAAACATAAAAAGGTGCTGGATCCGTTGGATTTGCACCTCATCAGTCACACACGCACACATACACAAATATCACAGGGTACAGAAGGGAGTGTGTACTAGAACTGTGAAGCTCAGTAGATGCTAAAACTACACATTATAAAAAGCAGTTGATGCTAAAACCAGACAGAGAGGGTGAAAGAAAGAAAAAAATGAGTGATCCAAACTAAGGAATCGTGTAAGGGATAAGCTTTCAGTTGTGCAATTGTGGTTTTTCCTATGCGAAAACCACAATTACAGGTTTCCATTGAGGTAATGTAGTCTTTGGCTTAACTTACTAAAACCAAAACATCCAAAGCTCATGATGCTCTTTACTGGGTCATAAAAGCTGTTAAAGCTGTGTAAAGCTCACTCACACATTTACTTAATGGGGACGGTACTATATATATATATATATGCTCAAGTAACATTTCTCAAGTAACATTTTTTCTTATTATAACAGTTGAAAACGGTTGTGCTGCTTAATATTTTTCATACATTTTACATACATTTGATATAATTAAGATTCTTTGATAAATAGAAAGTTCAAAAGAACAACATTTATTTGAAATAGAATAAATGTATTTATATAAAGTATTTAACATGTCACTCATGATTTTTAAAAATAATTTATTAATTATTTGTCCACATCTTCTTATGCCCTCAAAGGCAGATTTTGCCAGATTAGCTAACTTGCACTTCGCATATATAGCTTATTAAGAACAATCGTCTTATTGAGTGGTTACTCTACCAGGAAATTTAATCCTTTAAAATGATTTAAACTATTTTTTAAATGCTTCGTCGGTAGAAATTAAGCCAGAAAGAGAGTCAGAGCAGACAGAAAGAAAACAAAACACTGCACAATTAGTTAGGTTATGAGAAGAGCTTTAGGCATCAGCTCATATCCTGCTCTGCTCTTTGGAACACCAGGCTGACAGATCATTCTAAAACTCGTGAATGTCGACCACAAACTTGTTCTTGGTCTGTGTAGCAGAGGCACATTGGCACATGCACAGAGCTAGAGAGTCATCAGTAACACCACAGTCTGCCCACACGGCCTGACCCAGAAACAGACCCATGATTTATGAGAAACATGAGTAACTGATATAAACACACATGTTCAAAGATGTCAATTATGACAAAATATGGAGGTGAAACTGTGCACAGAGAGACAACAATATCTCATGGGTATTTATTTATGACTTTCTAGTGAGTTTATTAAACATTAAAAAATAGTTCAAGCAAAATGTATTTATTTATTTTGTTTATTTATTTTTTATTTACACACTCACATGACTTTCTTTTTCTTCTGTTGAACACAAAAGTTGACAATTCTGAATATTGAATGGTATGACAAAGAAACAGCATAAAAGTATCATAAAAGTGGTCCATGCACCTTATGCACTATATTACAAGTCTTTTAAAGCCATATGATATTTTTGTATTGTAAACAAACAAACCAAGTTGTTGTTCACTAAAAAATCTTGGCTTCCACTGTAGGTCTCAAACCTTATTTATGTTCCTGTGGCTCAGTGGTAGTGCAATGTGTTAGCAGCACAAAAGGTCGTGGGTTTGATTCCCAGGGAACACACATACTGGTAAAAAAATGTATAGCCTGAATGCACTGTAAGTCGCTTTGGATAAAAGCGTCTGCTAAATGCATAAATTATTAAATGATTAATTATTATTATTTATGTCTGCATTCAGTTATATATTGTGCCTTTAGGTAAATTGCATGATGTTTGACATCGGTGAAATCAAATGTCATTGGTTGTCACATGATTGTCAATAACTTCAAAGCTGACATGATGTCTAAAAGTGACATTTAATATGATAGCTACAGCAGAGGGAGAGCAGGGAATAATGACTTAAATTTTCATTCCTTCACACAAAGTTTGTATGGCTTCAGAAGTCTTAGAACGCAAGTTGTATGAACCAGTTTATGATGCTTTTATTGTGCTTTTTTTGTAATTTGTCCATAGAATAAAAAAGTACAGATTTGGAATGACATGAACTACATCTTTAATTCATGCATGCACATGCAGAACCCACACTGACTACAAAGAGTCACACAGTAACATGTGTGAAACACACCCTGCTGAAGTGACGCCCCAATGTACCATAAGGTGAAAAGACCGCAGTAGAGACTTTGCCAAACATGAGGCTATTACACATACACTTACACACCTCTCCAGGAACTATCATCCATCTGCTCAAGAAACTGCTTTCTGTCTGGGTGCTGGAAGCATTTAAACCATATGTATCCTCCTCAGGGTGCAGGACTTCCATTCAACAGTTTGGGTTAAAGCTTTCCATGACCTGAATCTATCAGCGAGACAGAGGAGGTTTATTTAAGAATTGAAATGTTGCATTGGGGGTCTGAACACATCCTGCAGACTGTAATCTAGGTCATTAGGTAGTCTCTTTCATTCTCACATGCTCAGACAGAAAATGTAGGCAACACCCAGTTGAGGAGGTAAAACATCCATCTAAACATGTCTCGCACACACATACAAAGCCTGGGGAAAGAGGGGGAAATGAGGGAAAAAAATGAAAGAGGGAAAAAAAGAGAAGTAGGAACACCCTTCCCACCTGCCAAGAGCTCTGTGGCTGCACAGCTTGTCTAGGTTACATCCAACTCGGAGGGAGAGAGAAAAAAAGAGTTGCACCATGTCTATACTGCAAGCAAAGAATGTAACGGTGTTAGACAGATAAAATGAGAGAAAAATTATACTGACTTCGGCCAGCAGCCCTGCATCCCATCCTCAGTATGTGTGTGTGAGGTTAGCACAGTAACATGATCGTGTTGACACAACGCCACATCAGTTCTGAAGGAATGTTCTGGCTACCCATGCATCCCTGCTGTTAAGAGTCAGAGCTTGAAGCTGTGTGTGTGTTTGAGACCGAGGAAGGGCAACACGTGCTCTGTATACTCAAAGGGGCAGGGTAATCGCATCATTCCTGCTATCGTTTAAATGAGTGATATTTACGTCACGGTGGGCTCTGATTTATTATGTTATGGCTGTGATTTATTTGTGTTCAGCAACACTTTTTAGTGTCTACTGAAAGTCTGTTTATAGAAAGTCTCCACATGTTTTGTCTTATGAACTCACAAAACATTAAAAAAACATTTGATTAATTTGACATTATAATATTAAATTCACTTTTAAGTGTTTTTTTTCAGAGTATGTCACAGCAGTGTCTACCTATTATTTTAATATGTGCAACTGTTAGCCAATCATAGCAGTGGGCATTTATTTCCTTAGTGCACCCTGCCTATAAAAACAGACTGTTCTGCAGAGAGGGAAAATAGCTGATTAATCTAAATTGTTTTTTTATGTAAAATTCTTGCTAACATTATAAGTCGACCTCAGGAAAAATTATGAAAAAAAAATGCAGTTCATGACCCCTTTAATAGTTTTTATGGAAATCATGATACATTAGTTCAGAATTAGTTGATGAATAGAAAGTTCAGAAGAACAGTATTTATTTGCTAATATTTTGTAACATTATAAATGCCTTTGTCCCTTTTGCCCAATTTAGTATGTCCTCGCCAAATAATAGTATTTATTTCTTAAAAATAAAATAAAAATAAATCTTACTGACCCCAAACTTTTAAACAGTGGTGTAATGCACTTGTAGTTCAGCTTTGTCCAGCATGTGTATTTTTAAACCTTTGACTATTCAATTACACCTTGAGTAATGTATACAGCTAGAGGACAGAGAGATGAAGAGTGTAGCTTGACTATGCAAAATCCTGCTCATATAAATGTATATACTTGCTCTCAAATTGTGGATCATGTGTTTGTACCAAATTTGATGGCAGTACAGTTTTTACCATATACCGTATCTAATGTTTATCTACATCCTTTTGATGAGTCGGTTCTGAATGTGATTGAAGGTTTGACAGGAAGATGATCTGCACAGGATGTGCCATGTCCCTTCCAAACCACAGTTTTTTTTTAACTGCCCTGATTGAAGTTTTAGATGATTACGAGCAGCCCGCAGACTCCTCAGAAGTCTCTTGAAGTAAATCCTCACCGTGCCCAGACACAAATGACTGGAACGGACTGATGAGAACCACAGGCGGTAAACGATTGCGTGGGTTTTCCTTTGTGCCTGCTGTAGATCGAGGGATCAATGCGTGGCAGTATGCCAGACACTCTTAAACTGGCACAGTGATCTCAGGGGGAATACCCACATGCACACAAACACACACACTCCTGCCCCACGGCACCATTAACAGATGCCGCAGCCAGCGCAGTGAACCCATTGCTCATAATGAAGCAAGAAATAATCCCACTCACACACACATACCATCTCAGCCACACACAATAGCGTCTCTCTCTTACACAACAACAATAATAGCCTCACACACATAGAACTGTCTCTTGCCTTGCACTACGCAGACACCAATGCACAATTTTCCTGCGCAACAGTAATTGCGCATTCATGAGGACAAAAACACACACTCTGCGTCCATCTATAAAGTTATTGTGCTTTCATCTTGTACACTTCATCTCCTTGTAAGGGAATCAAGCGGTAACAGAGTTCTGGCTCCCTGCCCTTATAACACACACACATATAGAGCTTGAGTGTTTTAATGTGTGAAAGGAACATTGTGTGTGTGTGTGTGTGTGTGTGTGTGTGTGTGTGTGTGTGTGTGTGTGTGTGTGTGT